ACCAGGATTGTTAGCTCTGACACAGGTTTTCAATGTGAAGAACACAAACCTTAACATTTGGAGGAAATCAATATTTTATTTCATAATTTTTAAATTGTAGCCATATAGATAGCTTCATATCCTTATGAGGAAAGCAGCTTCAAGTCTGGAAATAAATGATTTAAAAATGTTTCCTTACAATGAGTCTAAAAATAATTGGCCCCATCAGCAGATGTGAGAAAAAGAATTGAATGCTTTAAACTTCCCTTTTTTCTGTAAATGTTTTGGAAAGTCTATAATTCATGCTTTGAGAAGCCAGCTACCTAAACATAATGGCACTTTTTAAAAGAAGGTTCCAGTAAACCATAACAGCTGGAGGCCTGAGAGATGATATCCTACCATAAACAAGAACCTTATTTTTGACATGCACCACAGACATTTTTTCTGTCTGAAGTACATACATGTCACCCATCCCCAACCCCATGGTGGTAAGGTGCTGTTGAAAACCACAAAGCACCTCTATATATTACATGAACCCTCCTTCTTCCCCAACTGCCTCCCCCAAAGGAGATTAGTATATGGGTGACCCAACTGTATCCATTGGGTCTATGGATTGGCAGGGTGGGGAATGATTATGAGCCAAGACCCCACAGCCGGACTGCCTGGACTGGGACCTCCATGAATCCATACTTTGCACGGCTGTGGGTGCATTACTTGGCTTCATGTCCCCATCTGTAAAATGGACATGGTAACAATATTTTCTATCTCACAGAGCTGGCATGAGGATTAAATGGGGTCCATTTGTAGAGAGAACTTAGAACAGTGCCTGGCACATTGTAAGGACTCAATATATGTCAGCTATTTTTTAGTTTACATTTTGTGGATAGTGATTTGACAAGGTCTCGCTGATGACTACCCACCTTTAGCCACAGTTCTTACATACCGAATTGGGTCACAAAGGGGACAGCTGAGGAATCTTCAGCTGTAATTATTTCTTACTAATCTTGGAAGCTTTTTCTGTAGTCCTATGTGGAGGCAGGATCTTGGTAAATCAACCTTTAATGTGCCACCCAGTGGCATGTTTTGCTTGTTTGTTTGTAATCCTTTGTTATATAATCCATTCTATTAAGTATGCATCCCGATGTAAAAGCATTCTATACATGGTTTGGTTGTCTTTTGAAACTGTTTTGACTGTGATAGCAAAATTGACACTTTTGTCAAGTTGACACACTGAATCTCATTGCTGGAATTATTATGATGGCTATTAAGGCTGAAGGAATAAGAATTAGTCCATTGATTGGTTTGGGGAATGAGAGAGAGTTGCTAAGTTTAGCAACACACTAACATGTTATGATTACTATTTATTAGCTTCTCATAGGAAAACATCTGGGTCCTGATTTGCTTATCAACTTGGGGGGAAAAAAAGACTAATACTGGACTTCCCTGGTGGCGCAGTGGTTGAGAGTCCGCCTGCAGATGCAGGGGACATGGGTTCGTGCCCCGGTCCGGGAAGATCCCACATGCCACGGAGCGGCTGGGCCCGTGGGCCATGGCCGCTGAGCCTGCGCGTCTGGAGCCTGTGCTCCGCAACGGGAGAGGAAAAAAGAGTAATACAAGGACCAAAATAATAATCAGGATAAACCAGCGTCACTGTAAGCTTAAGGAAAATCGAGACCATGCCTAGAATAGTTCACAGGTGGTACATAGAAGGAGGACATCAAGGAACAGCTGGCAGACACCAACTGGGCCCTCTCTAAGGGATGGATAGACTGCGTGGGCTACTAGGTGCTCAGGCAGAGACTCGGCCAAAAGCTTTTTTTCTTACAATGGGCTGATTCCAGAATCACTGCAGTGACAGTAGCTCAGACATGGGGCATACTGTGCCCACAGCTCTAAAATTAAAACATAATGCTTAAAGCTGGCAGTGATGTTCCCCTAAATCCATTTTTAATTCCAAACAAAATATTCTTAAAAGGATTCTGTTCTACCACTGCCCACTCTCATGGGTTTAATTGGCAAGATGGATCCATGCCAATCAGTTGAAATAACGCCCTTGGGTTCCTGCAAACTTTTTCACAATTTATGACTCCCCAGTTCCTTGGGACATACTGCCTGAAAAAAATGGACTTCTACTTAGTTCAAAATTCTACTTAAACAGAAATCCTTTTTATTCAATTACTTGATTTTTTTTCACGTGTTTACAAATTTAACTCCACTTTCATTAGGCAAGTTCAAAATAATAATCATAATTGACTTTATTTTTTAATTTGGTGACTACAGCTTTGCAAGACTCCAGGGTCACCTTCTGAAGAACACTGCCCAACCTTAGGGCTATGAGGAAGAGGGAGAAAGTGGAAAGAGTGGGAACTTATGAAAGTCATTAGAAATATTTTTCTTTGATTTCGGCTTTTTTCCCTATGTGACTTAATTTCTCTAAATATTGTATAAAGAAATATAGGTGTACGGGGAAGTGGAGCCAGATAGCTGAGGGTTTTCATTTTGAATGTTTTCTAACAAAGGCCTGTCTGTAATTGAAGGAACAGAAAGTGTTTCAGTTTTCATTTATTTGAACCACTAGCGTTCACTGGGCCACCACATAGCTGCTATCAGAAACTCAGATAAAACTTTTTTAATCCAATGAACTAGCTACCTAACTCAAACTGAAGATCCACCTGAGCCAAGCTAATCAGACTCCTTGCATGTTCCATCTGCAGAAATGCTAGCTAGGTAGCTTCTGTTTAGCTCAGAGCAGCTTTTGTACCCGTACAGGTGTACATGGGGAAACAGAAGAAATGGAAAAAAAACAGATTAAAATATTCCAACATATAGATAGGGATGGAACGGACAGATGAGGACCATCTTAGTTCTAGAAAGGCATACTGGGGAAGAGAAAGATGTTTGAACCAAATTCAGGGATGTGGTGTGAAATTATGCCATAACTGTTGGATCTGAATATCATAAAACAACTTTCTTTTACCCTTATTCCTCTCAATCTTTGGGAAAGGTGAGCAGAAAAAAAAAAATCTTATACATGGAATGATTTTAGGGGATGACATATTCCTTCTACTGCCACCCTAAAAGAAACTCCCCAAGGATCTTGTCACCAAAGCTTTACAATTCCACGATGAATCCACCTTCAAATTTCACCACTGTCCGCAGCTAAAAGAGTCGACACTTTATTGATAATTGTAACACCAAGGTGAAAACTACTTTATCCATTCCTTCCTAATGAGAGAAAAAAATTCCAATGATAGGTCCACAAGTGCAGAGAACTTAAGGGTATTGGCTCCTGAATGTAAAAGAATGGTCTCTACTAAGACCTAGAGGGGGAGGGAAGGCTCGTTTCATGGATTTTGCCTGTTGACAATCTAGCCAAAGGCAAACCTTAGAGGAGATGCCTGATGCCCTCCCACTGCTTTTAAAACCAGCAGTTATCTGGCATTAGGACCTCTGGCAGGGAAAATAAATGGACTCATTCAAAAATAGCTTACAGACCCAGTTTGGCTTCTTACTTTTACAAATAGGAGAAGGAGACCAAGAGATGAAGGATCCACAGTCGTACAGCCAGTTTAGTGGCAGAGCTAGAAGTAAAACCCTGAGCTCCAGACACCTGATTCACTGCTTTCCACCAACCCCAATCCCAATTCCTACTAGCAGTATCATTTCATATCATATGGGGGCTTTGTATGGAAAGATTGTCTAAGAGGGCAAGGAGAAGCAGACCTGGCCATACAGCTCTTTGGGTGTTACCTAATAATGCCTAAGAATGCAATGTTTTATTCTCCCTTTTTCAAGGTAAAATAAAAAGAAAATGCTTTCCCCAAAAGGGCTTGTTAGCTGGGCAAACTAGAGTCTTCATATCCCAGAACTAATTGTGGTATCTTCTAGAGGACATTAGCTCAAGCGTGTCTATACCTTCTGGTGACATCCTGAAGAGAGCTCAGAAGCTCCCCAGCAGTGATTTGAAGTGGTGTTTTCCTCTCATTCAAACATTTTTTAAGATGCTCCTTGGCTATTCTTGCCCAGGAACCTTGCTAATCTTGTCTGTACTTGACAAACTGCAGGACTGAGTGTTAGAAGATGCATCCCTGCCAGTCCAGCTTTTCCAGATGGAGAAAGTAAAGCAGGTGTTACCCCAGGGCTGTGGTTGGTTCCAGATGACCAACACAATCAACACTTAATGAGATGGACATATGCAAAAGCTACGAGCAGGAGACAGGATGCCTCTCAGGCAGAAATCATGAAGGAATTCTTTGGGAACTTAACGGATGGTATTGTCTCTTCTAGAGAAGAGACAGAAGACAGTGAAGCTCACCACGGCAACATATAAAATAAGACTTACTGTCTTATAGACGACATGTACTAGTGTTCATGTAGCACTTTCAAGATGAAAAGGGGCCCTGACTAGAGATTTCTCACCCCTCCCCCAACATGGACCCTTCAGACAAATGATGCCATTAGCCATTTAAATCATCCAACTGTCTTTCCTTGCTTTGGTTCCCTGCTTCCCAAACAACCATCTGATAAGCAAATTTTCCCCTAGATTTATATCCTCGAGGAAATACACTGGGTCAGAGATCTTAATTAGCCCATCAGATTAAGAGTTGTGTTTCTCATTAACCATTGGCATTCTTGTTTATTCACTGATTGCCTTGGGAGTTTAAGACCCAGAAGAAATCAGAGGCTGGTTCTTTACACACCTGGGTCTGAAAAACTGAAAACCAGATGAAGAAGGCAGAATGCATCACCTCTCCACCTGGGAAGATTGTGTCTGGCCAGTGAGAGGGCTCTCCCCCACCTTCCCTCACCTCAGGGATTATTTTCGTCACCACACCCTTTGCACCTGTCACATCTCTCTGTTCAGCAGACTCTAAGTTGTTGATGAGAAGTTTCTGTGTATATGTGGATGTTATAAAGAATAGCGAGCTGAACATCAGCTCTCACACAGCACCCTGAAAAAGGACATTCTCAGTAAACCACCGCTAAGTACCATGAACCTAAAATAAAAACAAAAACAGTACCTGTCTCCTTAGATCCCTTGTTTTCTTGGTCATCTTATCAATTGCAATGTTTAGAGGATCTCCTTTTTCTTTTCTTCCAGTCTATTAAGAAAAGAGAAATAATTTCCGATTTAGAAAAATTCAATGTTAGTGACATTAAAGGTTAAAAAAATTCAGAAACACACTTGAGTTGTAGAGTTCAAGCCATTTTTTAAAAATGATTCTCTTCGGGCTTCCCTGGTGGCGCAGTGGTTGAGAGTCCGCCTGCCGATGCAGGGGACACGGGTTCATGCCCCGGTCTGGGAAGATCCCACATGCCGCGGAGCGGCTGGGCCCGTGGGCCATCGCTGCTGAGCCTGCGTGTCCGGAGCCTGTGCTCCGCCACAATGGGAGAGGCCGCGACAGTTAGAGGCCCGCATACCACAAAAAAAAAAAAAAAAAGGTTCTCTTCAATACACAGCTAATACAACTTGGTCTCTAAAGTTGATTTTCTCTGTAGTAAAAAATGATGAAATCAATACATTCTCAAGATGGTTACACGTATGTCCATATTCAACTCCATGCAAATCTATGTTTTCTTCCCTTCTCCAGACATTCAGCAATTAAGTAAACACAAGGATGTTTTGTTATTGCCTTCAAACACAAATGTTTTGTGTTTTTCTATTATGTAAGCTCACTTCTGAATAGAATATGACTGAGATAAAAACTAAATTAGAAAAGAAAGTTAAGGTAAACGATCAGAATTCAGAATTTTATACCAATATATCACAAGCCTTTTTGTAACTTCTGTATCAAAATCAAAAGAGATGTTTTACTAGAAAACATAGTGTTTTAATCTTTGTTCTGCCATGCAGTGGAATGCTAAACATGATAATAAGGAACCCACAGCTTGAGGTCACGAGGAAAATTTCCCTTATGACTGTAACAAGCAGAGGCAAAGGCAAAAGATAATAATAATAATAATCTTGATAAATTATTCAGTGGAAGTTTGGAAGTTTGACTAGTTTCTGTTTTCCCTTTTGTTCTTCTATTTTTTCATTGCTGTAGTAACACAATTAAAACCAAACCAAACAGAACCTCCATTATCTTTTTAAAAACACAACAGCAACAAGATTCCCATGGATAAAAAGCTCTACATAACTTTATGGATGGCATTATCTTCCTCTGAAGAGAAAATTGTTCTCAGAATCTTTGTCAAATCTATTAAATTATCTAAACGTTAGTCAAACACCCTACAGATCTATTTATTTATGGTCCTAGTGGCAGGCCAATTCTTGTTCCATACTCAGACTCTGTAAAGCCAAGTAGGTCTCTGTAGTAATTTGCGTATATATTGAAATGAGATCCCAGGTCATAAATTGTGCCTCATGGGATAATGTGTTGCGAGGATCCATAGAAATTGACATCGGACAGATTTCTAAATGTTCTCTTCCAATGGCAAAATCAGCATAAGGCTGATACGTACACAGCTGATTTACACATACCTAGATTTAAAGCAGTCACTCTTTTCTACAACTTGCTTAATTAATCAATTTTTCTTGAATGAATGGCCGATGTGTAATCCTATAGGATTTTTCATGAAAAAGCCAAAGCCAGGTCATATGTGCATATTTTTAATCATTTAAAACCTACAAATCCCCATCACCATTTTTCCACTCCCTAAACTCAAATGCTGACCCGCTCAGATGTACACTCTGAAGTTCTGTAAGTAGAAAGAGCTTAAAATAAAGTGAGCCACATTTACAACTTTGAAATATCAGCATGCAATTAGCTAAAAGGAAACAAAAGTGTATGGAGAAGAACGATGTGCTGCTTAATTTTCCGAGGACTGCTGTCACATAGTAAGTGTAACTGCAGCGCCCTGGCTCTCCATAGTCAGGTGTGACACCAGCTTAGCAGCCAGAGCTGTTTCTCTTCTCTTTGGTTTCCTCCTCGCGAATAGGACGTCTGCCTTCAGAATACGGGCACTTTTACGGGGGTCTGGACCACAATCATTCTGGAACCATAGATTTCTCAAGCCCTTTCCATATAGGAGAGTAATTAAAAACTTACCTTGAAAAATGAACAATTGTGAGTTTGTTTTAAAATGTGACTGTGAGAGAAGCAGACTGGATCACTGAACTTTCCAATGTAAAACAAGTCAAGACAGTGTGAATACACAAAATAATTACTGAATAAATACTGTGTCAGGCAGGGCTCATTGCATCCTGCCAGCGACATATCATTATCTCCGTTTACAAAGGAGACCGTGAGGATGACAGAAGACCTAGGACCAGGGTGAGAGGAGTGAGACACTTGCCTCAGGTATAAAATGTAAGGGGTCATCAAAGAACTCAGGAATCAAGATAAACAATAGTTTCATGCAATAGTTTAAAAACTCAAAATTAATACCAAAAAATCCATGCTGAACAAGTATCAAAACTTTAAATAAAGCCAAGCTCTGACAGGGCCAGGATTAGGTGAGGCCAGTAAGGTGCGTCACCCAAGTACAGGTCAGATAACATTTTTAAATTTTAAACTTTAAAAAATTAGGGGAGGGGGCTTCCCTGGTGGCACAGTGGTTGGGGGTCCGCCTGCCGGTGCGGGGGATACAGGTTCGTGCCCCGGTCCGGGAGGATCCCACGTGCCGTGGAGCAGCTGGGACCACGGGCCATGGCTGCTGGGCCTGCGCGTCCGGAGCCTGTGCTCCGCAACGGGAGAGGCCACAGCGGTGAGAGGCCCGCGTACCACAAAATAAATAAATAAATAAATAAATAAATAAATAAACAAACAAATAAATAAATAATTAGGGGATATATTTATACTAAAAATAATATCATTGTTTACCTAAATTTCAAATTTAACTGGATGTCCTATAATTTTATGTGCTAAATTCAGCAACCCTACCACCAGGGGTAATGGGGATGCTCAAACTTGTAAGTAGGGTGGTTACAGACACACATTCTGTGAATAGCTGGGCAACATGGGATTCTGTATCCCATCTGGCATCAATAACCAGCAACTGTATAGCACATGTCCCAGAGATGTGAGTCATCATGTTGGTCACCAGGGGTTGGTGGTAGGGGGGTGCAGGGGATGCACAAAAAGCGAGAGTCACATTCTCACACTTGAGGAGCTCCTAATCCAGTGAGTGACCCCAATGTGAGAGCAACAAGACTAACAACTCCACAGAGAGACTAACGCCCTACAGGGCTAAATAAGATGCTCCAAAGAGGAAGGAGATGCTGCATTTGGGAAGTCAGTAATCGCACAGAGGGATGGGAAGATTTAGCTAGACCTTAAGTCCTTGGCAAAATTCGAATAGGAAAGAGGGAGGGCCAAAGTAGCATCAAGAGAAGAAAGAGCAAGGCAGGTACTGGAAGGACAGTGAGTGCAATGGGCCATCCTTTTCTCCACGATGTGAAGGGATTGGTTTGACTAGCTGTAGAGACATGTTATTTTTATAGGAGCTTCTTTATAGTATGATTACAGCCAACTATAGTTTGATCTGCAAGCTCAGAGCATCTCCGGTGACATTAGCGTTCCAGGTCCCCGTGTTGTTGGGATTCTCTTTGTATAATATTTGTGATCTGGTGTCTTGAGCTTTCAAATCTTTGGCTGAAAGCAATTCAAATAACTGCAGTTGACTTGGGTGCCATCTTTGTTTTCATGGTTTAGAGAGGTAAGGCTGGAACTAGAGCTTAGGAAACTGGGGTCACCAGCTGAAATCATCCATTCACTGGCCCTTTGTTAGCACTAATTTTTTTTTAAATAAGGTAGGGGCACAGGAACAAGGCTAGTAACCCCTCCATGCTCAGATTTACGTAGTAAATGGGGACTAGCAGCCCATGACTCCATATTTTCCTGTGCTCTGGTATGACCCCAGGTAGAAATACATTTAAATTAACAACCTAAATTGGACAGGAAGCTAATCATTGAGAGAGACCAAACAAAGAAAGACTCCTGCCTCCTAGTGTCAGCCCTTCGTTATTAGGTTATGTGATCTTGGCCTAACGATTTGCTCATTTCTTATGTCTGAGTTTTCTCATGAGCACAACGGATAGCATGATATATGCCCTGTCTTCTTCACCAGGTTAGCAGGACGATCAATCAAGGTGTCAATGTGCGGGAAACAATAAAAGGCATTAACAGTATTCAGGGTAATTAGGAAAGTATTTCTACTGTGGAAAAAAATGAAAGTACTGCTCTGGAAACTACACAGAAACTATTTTTAGATCACCTGGACTTCGACTTTCTCCGCTCAGGCAGATAATATATGAAAACCTTGCCAAAGACTAGAATTCCTAAAGAAGAGTTATTTCTGTTTAAGGAAGGAATATTCTGGGTGGTTCATTTTAAACGACTAGTCTGGGATATTCTAAGAGGTGAAATAAGGGTCCGAAACTCCAGATGAATGTCTTTTACATAGTAGGTTGTTGGATATATTTGTTAAATAACTAAAGATTTGATCATCGTGAGCAGATTCTAGTTCCCAGGGAATCAACCAGAAGCCTAACCTAAACTCTCCCTCCCTGACCCTCCAGGCTCTATAAACTAAAAATTGTTTAACAAACTGAAGTGAAGAGAGAGCTCCGTCTTCACTTTCACACCATCACCTAGTAATCAGAAGTGTGTGGTCTTCAGCCAGTCATACCTTTATTCCCTGCCTTTGCTGAACAGAAGGAAATGAAAAGCAGTTATAAGCACTCTCTGCCAGTAACTACCGAAGTGATCTGGCAACTCCTCTGCACTCCAGACTTATCATTTGTCCAATGGAGGGGCCAGAGGCGAGTGACGGACCCCAGGAAGTGGGGGAGCCCGAACATGTAACCACGCTTCCCTTGTAGGGAGGCTATCACGGCACTGCAGAATGGGCTAGAACTGGCTGTCAGTCGAGGTATTCTTATCTCTAAAATGTGGATAAATGCTTGCTTTCGGGATTATTGTGAACATAAAAGAGATAGGATCTGGAGCATGTAGCACAGTACCTGACCCAGCAGAGGTAACTAAATCAATTTCTTCTCCTTCCTCACGCCCTCATTCCTCTCAAAGATGAAAAGAGCAAAACCCAGAAAGATAAAATCACTGATCACATGGCTCACTAGTGTCTGATCAGGATCTCC